TATTAATAAGTAAAACAAACGCAGTTCCATTACTTAGAACTGTCACAGAAATGTTACTTGTCCCTGCTAAAAGAAACATTTTAAGTCATGTGAAATTCCTACAGAAATCAAATCTACCATTAAAATCAGTGAAAAAGCATTTAGCAAGTATCCACGATTGCTTCATATCTACTAGAATGGTTATAATTTTAAAAACAGAAACAAGTTTTGAATGCAAAATGGTGCAACCACTATGGAAAACAATTACAAACCAAAGTAAATAAAAAGCTAACATAATGATCACCACATGACCCAGAAATTCTACTCCTAGGTATACCCAAAGGAATTTTAACAGATTCAGATACTTACACATCAATGTTCACTGTGGCCTTATTCGCAATAGTCAAAAGGTGGAAACAATCTAAGCATCCATCAACAAATGAATGGATAAACAAAATGTACATATCCATATAATACAATTTTATTCAGCTATAAAAAGGAATTCGATTCTGGTAAATGCCACAGCATGGATAAATCTCAAAAATGTTATGCTAAGAAGAAGAGTCAGAAGCAAAAAGAAAAATATTTCATTATTTAGAATAGGCAAAATCACAGAGAAAGCAAGCAGATTAGAGATTACCAGGGGCTGGGGAAAAGGGAGAATGGGGAGGTATTTACTGCATGAGGGCTATAGAGTTTCTGCTTGGGTTGATGAAAAAGTTTGAAAATAGTGGTAATGATTGCACAACACGGTGAACGTAAATAATGCCAAGAAAGCGTACATTTAAAAGTCATTAAAATAGCAACATTTTTAATGTATTTTACCGTAATTTAAAAAAATAAGGTAATATACCAAAAGCCATTATATTTTTAAAATGGGTGAATCATATGCAAATTACATCTCAAGAGCTATCTGGAAGAAAAACAACACTGAACTTGGAGGTTCACTGATAATTAGAGATCACTTAGATTAATGAGTACAGTTTGAGAGTAAAGCTAATTACTACACTAGCCTAAGCAATTTTGGTTAGGAAGGCAATTTGTAGTGATGTACACAGACTTCTCTAGTTCTCACGTGACTTAATTCAGTCTAAGATAAAACCTAGCCCAATAACAACTATCCAAAATCAGGAAAGGAAGGATAACAAATGAATGGCACATATACTAAAGAGTTCACAACTTTTTAAAGTAATGGCCCATTTCCAGACACCAGTAAGACAAGACAACGCCAAAACAGGTCATTATAGAGATCTCTACATTAGCAGAGATCATGTGTAAGCCTGAATTGAAGGTTAACTACAAATCATTCTTATTTATAAAAACAAGATTCCTACTAGAGAATAATGACAATTTGAAGTCCTCACAGTTGCTGGGAATAGCCAGATGGTTTACTCCCACATCTGTTGGGGATCTTCACCCTTCCACATGCTCTGCTTCCGTATTCCTTTTAAACATTTCCACAAGTCAGAATTTCTCCTACATCTAGCTAACTCCCTATAGTAGTGCATCTGATTTACCTTCCAAAATTATAAACAAGTCCTAAAAATAATTTGATACTTAAGATTTTCAGTGCCCCCTTCCTTTAGCTTGGAAATTCAAAACAGGTACAGAAATTACAAACTGAGTTAAAGACAAAGAATAGGTCAGATATTGTGCTGCCAGGTTAAAGAATGGATGGGGCTTTTAATGATGTGGATTAATGAGACCAAAGATAACCCGAAAAGAAGTCTGGGTTTGAGTTATTCTTTGCCTAACGTGGGACTTTTTGCTATAGAAACAAAACGTGCTGTATTTTACTTTAGAAGGTTTGAGTAGTTCCCTGATAAAAAGTTCAGTTACAACTTAATTCAATCTGAGCATGTTTTTTCATACAATTATCAAAATGGCTGAAGCCCAGTCCAAAAATGGAAGAAAATAGATTTTAAAAATCAGTCATTTTGAGAAAAGACTAATCATTAATACTAACAACTGAACCAGACAGCAATCAAGACAGAAACAACAAAAAGAGAAAGTAAACATGGAGAAGTGGTTCGTAACACTAAACTATTCTACACAGGGAAACTTACTGGATTCAGGCATATGTTTCTCAATAGTGGAATAAAACAAAACATTACAACATTGAATTCTCTCTCCAAAGGAAAATAAGAAAATGTTGTTAAGAGAACCCTGGACAGATGACATGAGAGGAGAAAACTTTTAATGGCTACAAGCATCATATGTTTTTAACTCGTCAATTAGAAAAGATGACCCTGAAAAGAGCCTAATATGTTGGGTCACAAAGAATATACCTATTGGGCTTCATGATTAAATACATGACCTTGAATGGGTCTGCTCCATGGTCACACACTGAACTTTACAGTGGACATTTGTCCTGGACATTGTGAATTAAACAGTCTTTAACTGCCACAAGGAAAAATGCAGCAACATCCCATGTACAAAGCAAGCAAAAAGATGTATAAAATGGACAAGGCTTAGATGCAGGAAGTTTACTTTTAGTTGCCTCCTAGTTGGAGCTCTAAACCTACACATGATAAGTGAATCATCCATCCCCTCCAAGTCTGTTTCCCTAACTATAACATCAGGAAGATTTCTAACACCTCTACTACTCTACATAGAAAAGTTCAAAATGTCAAGAGATCAGCCAGGAGCTCAGTAAATGCCTTACACTCTTACATAAGTCAGCTCTGGGCAGCAGTGGGATCATTATTCCACAGGTAAATATGGATTTTCCCTTAGGCCCACAGAACAGGACAGAATTAGACTTGTTTGATTTGGGGTTCTTCCCAAGTTATTAACACACAAGTAGCAAAGAGTATTAATGATTAAAGGAGAAGATACAGCTGAAGAAAGCCGTACTGCCAGTGAAAAAAAAAGAATGGAGAGCCTAGTGCAAGAATAACCTAAAACCAGACCTCAGGACCAGACAACAGTGATCTGTGGCCAGCTGGCACAGGGGCAAACAGGGTTAAACACCTCTATCATTATATTACAGTAGATTCATTACCTGCTATTTGTAATGATAACCTTTGAGCACCAAGAAAAATTGAAATTATGTTCACTGTATTCAGTAGGGCGAGGAAACACAGTTTTTTGACTATTATCATTTAAATATTAAAAAAAAAAAAAAAAAGCAAAAAAAACTTCAGGCTGGGTGTCGTGGCTCATGCTTGTAATCTCAACACTCTGGAAGGCCAAGGTGGGAGAATCTCTCTTAAGTCCAGGAGCTGGAGACCAGCCTGGGCAACACAGCAACACCCTGTCTGTCTTTATTCTTTAACAAACTAACAAACAAAACCCTTCGGTTATCTCTAAAAAACAAAAAGGCAACCTACCGCCTAAGGGAATGTTGCCTTGTCAGATGAGAGGTCACTATAAAAGCCTATTGTTCAGAAAATGAGTCAGTGACATCTTTATACACATAAGAGAAATACAGTAAAGCAATGAGAGCCAAGTCTGAAGCTTCAACTGCTTGTTACTTCCTTTTTAAGAACAATGAAAAGAACATGGTGAAAACTTCATCTAACATAACTTAAAGGACCCAGAATATTTCTGCATTTAGAAGGTACCCACCTGGTTAAAATAAAACACTGCTAAATTGAAATTGTGGTTCTACTTTTAAGTTTAAAGTATCATTATACTGAGAAAATTCTGGTTTTATGTATTTAATGCAAAAATCATAAAACAACTGTTACATCAAAACATTCAATTATATACTGTGCTTCGGTGTATACTACTGGTGCTCAATAAATAATTGGTTTATATTTTGTTCTATAGGAGAGGAACAGAGTGAGTAGGCAGTTATTCTGACCAGGTCATTTATCCAAATCCAGAAAAATTCTGGACTCTGGAATTCCTGGAATCCTAAGATGTTCCTACATGCTTTATACGAAAAACCAACAATTAAGGTGTTTCTTCTCAGCGTGTACACATTTTTGTTCCAAAGTCTAAAAACCTTTCAAGGTTGTGTATCAATGACACCCTTATATGAAGTATGAAGACTTTTCCTTGGACCTCTAAGTCATCACCTATACCATGTCTCTCCAACAGCACTCTGCATGGTCTACTCGAAGGAGCAGCTGCCAGGGGTACCTGCAGGTACCACAGCAACATAAAGGCCAGACACAAGTTTCCAGAAGCCTCCAAAATGGTACCTGTATTACAACCAGTCAAGTGGCTGCTTGCCTTCTAGGAAGCACCCTAAACAGTGCTTCAATCAGCACTTGTTCACAGCCACTTAGGCCAACTGCCTAGAGCATGATGGAGTCAGCCTTCACTGAGACTCCTCGCCTGAGGATTCATCCTCAGCATCTGAAACTACATTCTGCTTCCTTTCACCTTCTCTAACTTAGTTCCCCTTAAGTTGTTTAGTTTTTCAACATATTAAGGAGGAAAAATATTCACCAAAACAATACTGGTAGAAGTCTCAAAACACACAGCAACAACACCTACAAACCAAATACAGACATATTTACTCAATTACAAATGACTGTAATTTATTCTATTACAACACACATCTTTTGGGAAAGCCTTATATGTAAATTTTTAATCAACCAGAATAAAGACTATGAGCAGTTTTTCTTTTTTTTAAATGCTGCATATCTAAAAGGAAAGCCTCATGACATAAAAAAAGCCAGGATTTCAATCTATTCTGAGCATAGTCATTTAGAGTATAATGATGAGCAAGCTAATATGTCAAATATCTCCTCTGGAAAAAACAAAGCAGCACTACACACCACCATGGGATGGGATGGGCTGGATTAAAATAAGACCCACATCATCAGATCTCAGATATTTTGAGCATTTCATTCAAAGCAATCAAAAAGCAGAGTGCTATTTCATAATCTGCACCTCTGATCACAATTCTTGGAAAAAGCTCTTTAGAGGGCTAATTAAATTGATGAATCCCTCCCTCTTAGATTGTGCAGTCATATTCTTTCCACTTGATTTCCCGTCCAAAGAGATTCCATTACTTCCCACCACCTCATATGGAAACCCCCTACAATTACATCATTAGTACTTACATTCAAAGCATTCTTTGCAGCTTCTGCTTCTGAGCGACTGTCAAAACTGACAAAACCTACAGGCTGGGGAAAAAAAGAGAAATATGAAGAAAAAAAAATCAGACGATGTCTATTTTTCTAGGTCAAGGGTGACGTCAAACTGAAGAGCTAAGATAAAGAAATGACCACAGGCAATGGGCAGAAATAAGAAAGCCAAGTCCCGAAGAATCATGACTCAGTGGCTTAGCCAAATTTCTAACATGAATCAAAGGGATGGTGAGGGTAGTTCTTCAAGGGCACAGCTGGGGATTTAGAGAATCATAAAAAAATCTAGAAGTGGTTGAAAGGTGAACAGCAGTGAACAAGGGAATAGAGGAAAACTTGGGTTGGAGAGGCTCTACTTTCCTAAATCAAATTCACTGTACCTCAGTTTCTTCATCTTTTAAAATGGAAAGAGAACCGAATCACCTTTTGGTACACTGTAAGTGCAAGAATACAATGACACAATGATAAAACCCCTGAACTCTCACTGCATGACCAAAATTACAAAGTGAACATTCCTATCTCAAATCCTAAGGGATGCCTTAAAAAATCCTGTGCTGGCTGGACAGGGTGGCTCACGCCTGTAATCCCAGTACTCTGGAAGGCTGAGGTAGGCAGATCACGAGGTCAAGAGATCAAGACCATCCTGGCCAACATGGTGAAACCCCGTCTCTACTACAAACACAAAAACTAGCTGGGTGTGGTGGTGTGCACCTGTAATCCTGGCTACTTGGGAGGCTGAGGCAGGAGAATCGTTTGAACCCGGGAGGCAGAGGTTGCAGTGAGCCGAGATCGCGCCATTGCACTACAGCCTGGCAACAGAGCGAGACTCTGTCTCAAAAACAAAAAAACAACAACAAAAAATCATCTTCCTAATTAGGCTGTTCAGAGTAAATACAGAAAGGCCATAATCCCTTTGGACTCCCTATCTTTCAGTAGAGAAGGTTGCCTCCAAGATCATTCTTCTCATGAGCCAGAGAGATGAATAGTGATTGGAGAGGTGTGTATGCCAAGTGTTCAGCTTTAAAAAAAAAAAAAAAGTATACAGCTACAATCTCTAAGCTTGTATGAACTATCAGAATCACCGACTACCACTTCCATTTTGTACATTCTCTGCTCCATTCTGGACTCGGGACTCTGCCTTAGTTTAGGGGTTTGACAGACAGCATGATCCTTCACTATCTGATATTCACAGATTGTACACGTTTGTTTAACCTCATAAAAAGAATGGGAAAGACTTAGGAATAAAAGTGAATTTAAATAATAAACCACTATTTTCATTGAACATACAAATCAATCTCAGTATACCACTGTGTTTATCTTTCTCTGGGACAGTCCCTGAAATTCCAGCTGATGATTATATAATTATGAAGCATTTTCCTGTGCTAATTCCTAATACATCTCACTCTTTCTTTTAAAGACAAGAAAACCCTCAAATTCTAACGGGAATAAAAAAAAAAAGAATGTCAAGCCCCAGTAACATTACTGAAGAAAGTAAAAAAGTGATCTTTTTATGCCAGTTTAAAATTCTTACCTGTTTAGATGTGAGCTTTATAAGAGAACCCTCATAGCCCTGAAAATAAAGAAAAACCAAGTTTAGCCAAGAGTAACTGTAGTAATACCATCTTGTTCATGTAAAAGTAAGTTCTTTGTTGATTACCTAACTCCTCTTACGAATGTCTCCTAAGTTATCTGGGAAAGCAAATTACACACACGCATGTGCACGTGCACACACACACACCTGTTTGCATTCTTGGGGCCTTTAAAAAATATCAATCTGTGGATTCATCTGTGTTTCTCTTCCTTCTATTTTTTTTTTTCATGAAATTACACAATGGTAGAAAAATGAGTGTCTCTGTTAATAGCAATCTTTTTGTTTTCTTGGTCTAGGTAAGAATAGGGATTTTACAGAACTAGGCAAGGAAAGAAGGTAAATTTAATACAACAGGAAGGTCAGAGCATGTATTGATTTGGTCATGTATCTGCTATAAAATAACAACAATAAAACATTAAGAATATAGTTGGGGTCTGGCACGGTGACTCACGCCTGTAATCCCAGCATTTTGGGAGGCCAAGGTGGGCAGATCACGAGGTCTGGAGATCCAGACCATCCTGGCTAACATGGTGAAACTCCATCTCCACTAAAAATACAAAAAAATTATCCAGGCGTGGTGGCGTGCGTCTGTAGTCCCAGCTACTCAAGAGGCTGAGGCAGGAGAATGGCGTGAACCTGGGAGGCGGAGCTTGCAGTGAGCCGATGGTGCCACTGCACTCCAGCCTGGGAGACACAGCCAGACTCCGTCTCAAAAAAATATACCTGGTAAAACTCCCTGACCACATTTTCAAAACTGCCAGAAAAGGTTAAGCAGGCAATGATGTTGAATTTTGTTGAGTTATTTTGCTTACTTACTGAAGGAACTAGCTTTCATGTTGCTATTCTGATTGGGACATGCAAAAATAATCCCTTTGGATTTTTATTCCAGCTCATGCTCAAGAAAGACAGAAACACTCCCTCCCTTTCACTCCCTCTCTTCAACCCTCCCGGCTCCTCAAGATAAGCATAACAAAATGTGTTTATTTCTGAAAATAATCAATAGCTGGTGGCTTGCATTAATGGATGACACAGGGGAAAAACACACCACTTGACATGATTGACCACTACACACATCAGTGCAGAGACAGATTTGCAGACTAGCGTCAGCCTCCAGGGACTTTAATTAAAAGAGGGTTGTCAGGAATGTACCAGGGTGCTGACTTTATCATCAGGGTTTCTGGGCAGGATGCTGAGATTGATTCATCCTTACATCTTCCCAGCAGAGAACTATGTTGCCAATTAGCTACTATAAACATTTCACCTCAAAGGCCTTGAGCTCTTATGGCCAGAGAGGTCATGATTCACAGCTCTGCCTCTTCCTTTCTTCAAGGTGTTCTATTCTGAAAAAATTGGAGGTTTAAACACCATGAAGGTCTCGAAGGCAAAGGACAAGTGGATATTTCACTCAAGTAAAACACCACTGGTAGGGATATACTGTGTTCTCAAGTCACAAACAGAAAAGCAGTATAACATAATAGTTCAGAACAGAGAGGACAGAGTCAGACTGCTTGGGTTTGAATCTTGGCTCTGCCATTATTTATGTGTGTAAACTTGAGCACAATTTATTCAACTGCTCCAAGTTTCATTTTCCTCATTTGAAAAAATGAGATTCACCCATTTGAAAAGACTGTGACGACACTTTAATAATTCATGTAAGGGGCTTGCTGGTGAATGTCTTTCTCTCTATACACCCCAAAACATAACAGTATTTTATATACTAAGAAGATCAATTTGCTTTAAAAGTTTTCATTCTATAAAAAGGATAGAAAAATAGTCCCTTTTATAAAAGTACAACCTGGCAGAAGAAACTCAGGAAATTCTATAAAAGGTGGCACTCTCTTCACACCACCTTCTCTTCCTTTCTCACTTCCTCCCACCTGACCTGGCGCCTGACCTCTGTTCCCCTGGGCCATCATCATTATTGTTGCATTAAAGGGACGGCTGTCAGGTGGAGTTATGTCCATTATGACATGGTGCCCTCTTGGCACATAAGCTAGACTGTTTTATCTTTGTTGGGTCTAACTGGCTGCCCCCGCAACCCTCCTTCCTCCTCCTCAACACAAGAGTTTTCAGTTGTCATATCCTATTCTCTCTCCCTAAGAAGCTGAATCCTATCCCTCAACCTGTCATGCCTTTATCACTGGGGACCTGCTTCAATGAGGATGATCTTTAACCAGAAATCAAGATAGTCCATCACCTAATCGTAAGTGCGGTCCCTGCCAGGCACTGCTAACACATCCACACTGACCAACTTAAGACTTCCTGAACATAGGCCCTTCCAGGGAAGGCGCATATACCTTCCAGGGCCCCGATTCGATCAGCTCCAGCTTTCTCCTATCCTCCAAAGGCCAACCTTCCAAAGGTTTCTTCTTGGCAGCATGGTTATTTCAGCATAGTTTCTAAGTGCTTGGTGTCTAATATACTATGAAGTTTTCAATCCTAGCAACATTATGTATCTATCAAGTGATCTTATTTCCATAGGAAGGACAGGTAACTGCACTAAATATTTCAATAAACACCAGAAAATATGACCCTCAACTCATAACTAGGTATCCTTTAAAATTTTGTTTTACTTTGTTTGAAAGTTTTCCCATGGAAAAAATAATCGTGGTTAGGTTCTTAACCCAGTTCATAAAAACCTATTTACATTTCCGAAGAACAGTATCAACAGTACTATTTCAAATAATAAGATATGAAATTAGGAATAAATCTTCACTAACATTATTGCATTTGAAATAGAAATATGTAATTATGTAATTATCCTAAGTGAGACTATACCTTAGAACTCAGTTGTTAAATCTCCTTTACTCATTAACCTTTTAAAAACATCTCTTTTTGAAGTGCTTTCTCAAATATTTCATTTCTTGCTCCAAAAAGCCCTCAGGAAGCATACAGACTTTTGTCTCATTTTATAATTTCTGAAAGATAAAAAAGGTACCTTAAATGGTCTGAAAAGCAGATAGAGCTCCCGAGGTTTGATATCCAGAGGAAGGCCACTAACAAATAGGGTCCGGACCTGGAAAAATAAATTTAGGAAGTGATCAAGGGTGTGGACACTCCAGAGAGTTAACTCTCACCTGAAATCTCAAAAACATGTTATTCCAAATGTTCCACAACTCATACTAAATTCATGCTCTTTCCATGATACAATGAATACTTCACTGTTAAGATGCCACTAAACCAACTCTTTTTTTTTTCCTTTTTAAATTTTAGGGGAGATGCAGCTTTCTGTGTTATCTTAAGGTACATTCCCTAAGCCAACACTTGAATATTTCTATGTGAATTATTCAGAGTGAATTACATCTAGTTGATTTAAATTTATAAGCTAACTTTTCCCAACTAGCTATTGCACAGTTATAAAAATGTGAAGGATGGGGGAAGGTTCCATATAATTTAACTATTAGCTTAAAAAAAAAAATGACATGAGCACAGTAACTCTGCCACTCCTCTGCCCTAAATATATGGTCAATATAATGTGCTTCAAAAATAATACAAAAACAATTTGTTTCCTCCTGCTTGTTTTGTTGCTGCTTTCCTCATAGGCATTAATTACAATACCTTTAATAAATGTAAAAGTACAGTTAAGCCCAATGCACCTAAATAGTAACCAAAATGCATTAATTCTGCATCTGTTCAGTTCCAAAACAGCAGGGCCAACCTCACTAACTATCGTTCCCATTGCGTTTTTTTGTTTTTTTGTTTTAAAATTTTAAGTACTGGGGTACATGTGCAGGATGTGCAGGTTACAAAGGTAAACACATACCATGGTGGTTTGCTGCACAGATCAACCTATCACCTAGGTATTAAGCCCAGTAACCATTAGCTGTTCTTCCTGAGGCTCTTCCTCCCCTCAAGCCCCTGACAGGCCCAATGTGTGCTGTTCCCCATCATGTGTCCCTATGCCCTCATCCTTCAGCTCCCACTTGTGAGAATATGTGGTGTTTGGTTTTCTGTTCCTGTGTTAGTTTGCTGAGGATAATGACTTACAGCTCCATCTATGTCCCTGCAAAGGACATGACCTCGTTCCCTTTTGTGGTTGCATAGTATTCCATGGTGTATGTGCACATTTCCTTTCTCCAGTCTATCACTGATGGGTATTTGGGTTGATTCCACGATTTTGCTATTGTGAATAGTGCTGCAATGAACATACACGCGCATGTATCTTCCTAACAGAATGACACATATTCCTTTGGGTATATATCCAGTAATGGGATTGCTGGGTCGAATGGTACTTCTGCTTCTACATCTTTGAGGAATCACTATACTGCCTTCCACCCATTGTGTTTAAGGCACAATCAACACATAGGCCTACCATGACCAAGGTACCTGGCCACGGTGCCACTAATAAAAGTCATTCAAGACACATGTAAATACATATAGTGTAGGGTGTACACTATGTGCTTAGTGTCTACTAAAATACAGAACACAGGGGAAACACCAGAGAAAGCATCCGAATAAGAATCTAAAGGATGGGCATTTACCAAATAGAGCCAAAAGATGAGGTGGGATGCCTAAGAATCACAGGCAGAGAAAAGCATTCACCAAGGCAGTGAAGTAGAGGAAGAAAAAATACATTCTCGGGAAAGGGCAAGCCAAAACTAAACAAGAAGCTTGGGGTCAAACCACACAAAACATCAAAAGCCACTGGCTCAGGAATTTGATCTTGATTCAATAGGCAAGGAGTAGCTACTGAATTATCATCATATTTTCTATTTCTTTTTCTCTACTCACACGGATGCAACAAAACTGAAAACTTGATGCTCAACTGTTCAATTGTTAACCATGTATATACATGGAAGATTTTTCCTCAGTGAAAGACAGGGAGAATATTAGACAGACAGACAGACAGTGTGCTACCATGTCTGGCTAATTTTTTGGAAAGATGGGGTTTCACCATGTTGCCCAGGCTGATCTCAAACTCCTGAGCTCAAGAGATCCGCCCATCTTGGCCTCCCACAGTGCTGGGATTACAGATATAAGCCACCTCGTCTAGCTTTAGGCTTTTTGTGAGATTCCCAACACTTTTCATTGCTTATTGTTATACGAAGTGCGAATCACCAAGCAAGGCCTGTTTACCGACCCAGCACAGTACCCAGTAAAATGTCATGCCATTTGCATGTGTGTTTGATAAACACTATAAATGATGTAAATAGCCCCAGAATTCTGAATGCCTTATTTTATGATTTATAAACAGCTTTATTGAGGTTATGATTGATATATAATAAACTACACATCTTGAAAGTGTACGATTTTATGTTTTGAGATATGTATAACCTAAGAAACATCACAACCAAGACAATCTATCACCACCAAAAGTTTATTCATGCCCCTTTAATCCTTCCTCTCACTCTGTCCCACCATTCTCCATCCCTAGGCAATCACAGATCTGGTCTCTTTATATATATGCTTCAAACACTTACACAGAGGGAACCACAGAGTATGTTTTTCATCTGGCTTCTTTCCCTTAGCATGAAGTGAAATTTACTTTGAGATTTATCTATGTTGTTGAATGTATCAACAGTCTATTCCTTTTTATTACTGAGAAGTATTCTGGAGTGTGGATACACCACAGTTTGTTTATCCATTCACATGCTGACAGACATTTGGGTTATTCTAGCTTTGGCTTTTACAAATAAAATGGCTTTGAACATTCATGTACAAATCTTTGTATGGATGTATACTTTCTTTCTTTTTGGATAAACACCTAGAAGTGGAATGCCTATATATGAAAGGTACATGCTTTTTTTTATGCCCATCAATTCCTTGTCTTATGGTTCAGAACATGGTAAATGTTCTGTGTGCACTTAAAACAAATGTGTATTCTGCTGGGGCTGGGTGGAATGATCTATAAGTATCAATTAGGTGAAGTTTGTTGTTCAAGTTTTCTGTATCTTTTGCATCCTCACTTCCAATACCCCCAACTTTGTCACCAGATAAACAAGTTCCTGGGGGTCTTTATGAAGTTGGCCGAGGCAGAATTGCTGACAAGTGTCAAAGATACAAACAGTGAGGAAATCCTGCTAATCCAGTGTGCCCTCCCTGTCACCTGCAACTCTCCTCCCATAGTCCAGAAAGTGAACCCCATGTGTTCCACTTGGTTGTTCTGGTCAGGACAACCTGGGCAGAGCGAGAATATCATCTCCCATGCATTCAGATTTTGGGGAGTGCCTGTTTTCTCTCTGACACTGTGCCAGGTGCTAATGGATTACAGGGATTTCCACAAAAATGATATGGTAAGCAGAACCTACGTTCTAGGTGTCATGGTGCCATTTATCTAGTGGTGCATCTTACCATGTGATAAATATGAATTAGAATTTGAGGAGTTAACCTAGAAAATAAACTATTATTTATGACATTGTTATAGAGAAAAGGGCATCATAAACTTCAATTTACCAACAGAGGTTACTTGAAATCTGGGGATTATCAACAAAAGGTTACTTAATATAAATTAAAGTTCATCTGTACCATACAATGAAATACTACACAGCCAATAAAAATGATGTTCAAGAAAAAAGTATATATAGTTCCACTTTGTTTTATAAAGTAGCCAACATATAAGTATTGATAAAGGAAAAAAATTTATCTTATAGTATGTGTACTCAAATGTTTCTATCATTTAGCTCTCAATGGTATAGTAACTGATTTTAATGTTCATTAGCTTATTTGTATTTTCCATCTTTCTAAAATAAATATGCATTAAATACTGTAAGTTTATTTTATTAGGTTAAGAACTACCTCAATTTATTACCTCCCTTTCTTTAAGGGACTAGAGACAAAGTCGATATTAATATCAATATTATATTATGAAGTTTATGGAGGAAATTCTTTCTTAGGTAAATATTCCATAATGGAAAGTGAAGAGATTCTTATCTTAGTGTTTCAATAGAAAATTGCTATACATAGGGAAAAAGAAAATCCGAGCTCCTGTCAGGCCTAAGTTTGCCATTCACCCATAGATGCCAAGAGGCTCAAAGCAACTCTGTTTTGTTCATCAAACTGGAGGCAGATCAGATGTTTGGCATTTTATTTAAACATGGACGAGACTTAGGTTTCCTAGAATCTCATGAAGTCCACTATTGTTTCAGAAATCTACCAGAATATCTCATCTCACTCACTGAGATATTCTTTCCTCCAGCAGAACACACTGACAAGGGGGAAATAATTTCTGAATACTTACATTATGTATTTGATTCCAACTAGAGGTCACTTAAATCCAAGAGCATAATGTGCTTGGAATCCTAGAGACCTCCTCAGACTAGGAAAGTCATCAAGCAAGTTTTTAAAAAATCATAAATAATGAATGGAAAAAATAGCTTCCTGAAGATCAAATTCATGCTTTTCTATGGTGACTGGGATCTAGAATCACAAAATTTTTTTTTTTTTTTTTTTTGAGATGGAATCTCGCTTTGTTGCCCAGGCTGGAGTGCAATGGCGCAATCTTGGCTTACTGAGACTTCTGTTTCCCGGGTTCAAGCCATTCTCCTGCCTCAGCCTCCCGAGTAGCTGGGATTACAGGGGCTCACCACCACACTCAGCTAATTTTTGTATTTTTAGTAGAGATGGGGTTTCACCATATTGGCCAGCCTGGTCTCGAACTCCTGACCTCAGGTGATCTGCCCGTGTTGGCCTCCCAAAGTGCTGGGATTATAGGTATGAGCCACCGTGCCTGGCCTGGAATCACAGAAATATTTTAAAATATTTTAGTTTCCCTACTCTAAAAAGTATATTACCATCATACTTTTCATCTGAGCCACTAAAGGGCACTTCAGAGTTTTGGCTTTGCTAAGCCTACTGAATTCATAAAGACATGATTCCTGCCTTCAGGGAGCTTACTGTCAGTGAAATAAACTGACTATGTAATGGCTGCCTGTGATCACAGAAAGCTTAGCTCATTCACAAAGTAAGTAAAAAAACCCCAAGAGTAAGATACAAGCATAAGCAGCATGTAAATCCATGATGAAACACTCATTAACAAAACTGTTCCCCAAAAATAACAAATGAATTACTACGCCAACT